GGAATTCTACCAAACTTTCAAAGAAGAAATAATACCTATTCTCCTGATGCTGTTTAAAAAAATTGAAACGGAAGGAAAACTTCCAGACTCTTTTTATGAAGCCAGTATTACCCTGATCATCAAACCAGGCAAAGACCACACAAAAAAGGGGAATTTCAGACCAATATCACTGATGAATATGGATGCTAAGATTCTCAACAAGATCCTAGCAAACAGGATCCAACAGCACATTAAAAAGATTATCCACCATGACCAGGTGGGATTCATCCCTGGGTTGCAAGTGTGGTTCAACATTCACAAATCAATCAATGGGATAGAAAAAAATCAATAAGAGAAGAGAGAAGAACCACAAGGTCCTCTCAATTGATGCAGGAAAAAAAACATTGGATAAAATCCAGCATCCGTTCCTGATTAGATCAGGAACACGGCAAGGATGCCCACTCTCACCACTCTTGTTCAACATAGTATTAGAAGTCCTAGCAAAAGCAATCAGACAACAAAGAGAAATAAAAGGTATTCAGATTGGCAATGAAGAAGTCAAACTCTCTCTCTTCGCAGATGACATGATTCTTTATATGGAAAACCCAAAAGACTCCACCCCCAAACTACTAGAACTCATACAGCAATTCAGTAATGTGGTAGGATACAAAGTCAATGTACAGAAATCAGTGGCTTTCTTATACACTAACAATGAAAATACAGAAGGGGAAATTAGAGAATCAATTCCATTTACTACAGCACCAAGAACCATAAGATACATGGGAATACACCTAACCAAAGAGGTAAAGGATCTGTACTCAAGGAACTACAGAACACTCATGAAAGAAATTGAAGAAGACACAAAAAGATGGAAGACCATTGCATGCTCTTGGATCGGAAGAATAAACATTGTTAAAATGTCTATACTGCCTAGAGCAATCTATACTTTTAATGCCATTCTGATCAAAATTCCACCGGTATTTTTCAAAGAGCTGGAGCAAACAATCCTAAAATTTGTATGGAGCCAGAAGAGACCCCAAATTGCTAAGGAAACGTTGAAAAACAAAAATAAAACTGGGGGCATCACGTTACCTGATTTCAAGCTTTACTACAAAGCTTTGATCCCCAAGACAGCAAGGTACTGGCATAAAAACAGACACATAGACCAGTGGAACAGAGTAGAGAGCTCAGATATAGACCCTCAGCTCTATGATCAAATAATCTTGGACAAAGCAGGAATAAATATACAGTGGAAAAAAGACAGTCTCTTCAATAAATGATGCTGGGAAAATTGGACAGCTATATGTAGAAGAATGAAACTCGACCATTCTCTTACACCAGACACAAAGATAAACTCAAAATGGATAAAAGACCTCAATGTGAGACAGGAATCCATCAGAATCCTAGAGGAGAACATAGGCAGTAATCTCTTCGATATCAGCCACAGCAAGTTCTTTCAAGATATGTATCCAAAGACAAAGGAAACAAAAGCCAAAATAAACTTTTGGGATTTCATCAAGATCAAAAGCTTCTGCACAGCAAAGGAAACAGTCAAGAAAACAAAGAGGCAACTCACAGAATGGTTGAAGATATTTGCAAATGACAGTACAGACAAAAGGTTGATATCCAGGATCTATAAAGGACTCCTCAAACTCAACACACACAAAACAGATAATCATATCAAAAAATGGGCAGAAGATATGAACAGACACTTCTCCAATGAAGACATACAAATGGCTATCAGACACATGAAAAAATGTGCATCATCACTAGCCATCAGGGAGATTCAAATTAAAACCACATTGAGATATCACCTTACACCAGTTAGAATGGCCAAAATTAGCAAGACAGGAAACAACATGTGTTGGAGGGGATGTGGAGAAAGGGGAACCCTCTTCCACTGTTGGTGGGAATGCAAGTTGGTGCAGCCACTTTGGAGAACAGTGTGGAGATTCCTCAAGAAATTAAAAATAGAGCTTCCCTATGACCCTGCAATTGCACTACTGGGTATTTACCCCAAAGATACAGATGTAGTGAAAAGAAGGGCCATCTGTACCCCAATGTTTATAGCAGCAACGGCCACGGTCGCCAAACTGTGGAAAGAACCAAGATGCCCTTCAAAGGATGAATGGATAAGGAAGATGTGGTCCATCAGAAAGGATGAATACCCAACTTTTGTAGCAACATGGACAGGACTGGAAGAGATGATGCTGAGTGAAATAAGTCAAGCAGAGAGAGTCAATTATCATATGGTTTCACTTATTTGTGGAGCATAACAAATAACATGGAGGACATGGGGAGATGGAGAGAAGGGAGTTGAGGGAAATTGGAAGGGGCAGTGAACCATGAGAGACTATGGACTCTGAAAAACAATTGAGGGTTTTGAAGGGGCGGGGGATGGGAGGTTGGGGGAGCCAAGGATGGGTATTAAGGAGGGCACAGATTGCATGGAGCACTGGGTGTGGTGCAAAAACAATGAATACTGTTACGCTGAAAAGAAATTAAAAAAAAGTTCTTGGCAAATCAAATATATAAGTGAAGAGAATGGTGGGTAATGGTGGAGGTTGGAATAGATCTGCCTTTGTTGGCCACCGATAGTGTAGTATGGTGTTTCTCAAATTTCCTTGTACTGAGGAATTATTCCCTGATTTTGTTAAAAATGCAGATGCTGTAACTTCTCTTTCCCCTAACTCTACTTGATTCTATGATTCTGATTTATTTAATTTAGGGATAAGCCTGAATACCTCCATTTTAAAATAATCATGACAATTCTGATATAAATGTTTCTTGGGCCTTATTCTGAAAAATGTTAGCTCTTTATCAATCTATTTCTCAGGTCACAGTTTCTAAAGAAGCCTTAATGGTGTGGGGCTCAGGATAGATAAGCTCTGATAAAGGTTTAGGAGAGGTATATTCTAGTGCACACCTGGCCAGGACAGTCTTGAATACCTCTGACAAATTCTCTTGACATACTGCATCCCCTGGGACAAGAGATTGCACATTTTAGAATTTGAAGAGGAAAACCATTTCAAGAAATTGTGGATAGAAATCAATGCCCAGAGTTACCTGGAATATTTTCTCCCCCACCCTTCATTTGCAGAAGAAAGTATGAAATCAGCCATGAAGCAAGAAGAAAACATGGACCACACAGCAGTGAGGGTGAAATATGAACATCCTATTGAAAAGGCATTGAAAGTCAAAGCAAGGGAGACCAGGAAGCACAAACCCAAAGAGATACTCTTCCCAAACTCACAGCTTTTCAGGCAGTGGGGTAAGGATCTTTCTGAGGTCCAGCAGAAAAAGGCTGAGGACCTTTTCCAGAAGTTTGGTTACAACGTTTACCTCAGTAACCTGTTGCCTTTCAACCGCAGCATCCCAGACACCCGGGATTCCAGGTAGGGTGGACCAAGTTTGGATTGCAAAGGGACCTTGGTTTAATTGGGGATGGGCTTTGGGAGCAGCAAAAGTCAAGTGTTGAAAGAGGGTTGAGGAGTGGAGAATTGATGCGGAAGGACTCCTGGCAGGCTGACTGAGCAGAGTTCTTGCATTTAATCCATTTTATAATGCCAGCTCAGGGAGGACAAGTGACTGTTCCAAATATTTACAACTCCTGGGAGATGGGCAGAGATGTCAGAGAAACAGATGCTTGAGAATTCTGATGGTGAGTCTAACTCATAATTGTACAGATGAGGAAACTGGGAAAAGACTTGCGCAAGTCACACTGAAGTTAACAGCTCTACTTGCTTCCCTGGTGCTTTTCTCAAATTCTCTGTGTGAATTCCTCTCTGTTATTTATTCTAATTTAAAGAGCCTTCCCTGGGATGCCTCAGTGGCTCAGCTAGTTAAATGATCATTATGCTTTCAGCTCAAGTCATGATCCCAGGGTCCTGGGATCGAGCCCCGCATTGGGCTTCCTGCTCGGTGGGAAGCCTGCTTCTCCCTCTCCCACTCCCCCAGCTTGTGTTCCCTCTCTTGCTGTCTCTCTCTGTCAAATAAATAAATAAAATCTTAAAAAAATAAATAGCCTTCCATCTCTTTCTCCATCAGTTTCTTCTTCCCTCTTTGCTTCTCCCACCATCCTTCATAAGTTTTAAACATAACTTTGTTGAGATATAATTCATATATAATTCATCAATTTAGAATGTACAATTTAATGGTTTTTAGTATATTCACAGTGTAGTGAATCATTGCCATATTCAATTTTTAAACATTCTCATCACTTTGAAAAAAATTCCATACCCATTAATAACCCCTCCCTGTTTACCCATAATTCCTCATCCCTAGGCAAACATTAAGCTACCTTCTGTCCCTATAGATTTACCTGTTCTAACATTTCATGTAAATGGAATAATATTATATATGGGTCTTTTGTGACTGCCTTTTTTCACTTCAAATAATGTTTTCTTTTTTTAATTAGTATTGTTATTTTTATTATGTTCAGTTAGCCAACATATAGTACATCATTAGTTTTTGATGTAGTGTTCAGCCACTCACTAGTTGCGTATAATACCCAGTGCTCATCACAACATGTGCCCTCCTTAATACCCATCATTTGGCTGCCCCAACCCCCTACTGCCCTCTACTCTGAAACCCTCTGTTTGTTTTCCAGAACCCAGGGTCTCTCATGGCTGGTCTCCTTCTCTGATTTCTTCCCATTCAGTTTTTCCTCCCTTCCCCTGTGGTCCTCCACACTATTCCTTATATTCCACATATGATTGAAACCATATAATTGTTTTTCTCTCTTGACTTGTTTCACTTAACATAATCTCCTCCAGTTCCATCCATGTTGATGCAAATGATGGGTATTCATCCTTTCTGATGGCTGTGTACTATTCCATTGTATATACGTACCTAGAATAGTGTTTTCAAGTTACATTCATGTTATAGCATGTATCAAAACTTAACTCCTTTTATTATCAAATAATAGTCTTTGTGTGGGTACACCACACTTTATCTATTTGCCAGTTAGTGGACATTTCGGTGGTTTCTACCAGGAAAATACTGCTCTGAACATACATATATAAGTTTTTGTGTGGACATATGTCTTCAGTTTTCTTGGTTATACCCTAGAAGTATAATTTCTGGGTTGCATGATAATTCTATATTTTACATTTCAAGGAACTGCCAGACAGTTTTCTAAAGTGATTGCATCATTGTACTTTCTCTCTAGCAGTATATGAGAGTGCTGGTTTTTCCACATCCTCACTAACATTCTAGTGATGTGAAGTGGTGTATCATTGTGGTCTTCATTTAAATTTTCCTAATGTCTAATGATGCTGAACATTCTTTCTTGTGCATATTGGCTATTTGTATATCTTCTTTGGAGAATTGTCTATTCAGAGACATTCTCCTTTTTAAAATCAGTTTCTCTTTTTATTACTGAGGTACAAGTGCTCTTTATATATTCTAGATACAAGTTCCATTCAGACATATGATTTAAAAATGTTTTCTCCCTTGTGAATTATCTTTTCACTTTCTGTATGGTTTTCTTTGTTACATGAAGGTTATTAATATGATTTTACCCAGTTTATCTAATATTTTTCTTTGGTTGCTTCTGCTTTGGATGTCATATCTAACAAACCAATGCTTAATGCAAAGTCATGAAGATTTATGCCCTTTTTTTCTAAAAGTTTTGTGGTGTTAGTCTTACATTTAGGTTTTTGGGTCATTTAAAATTAATTTTTGGGCATGGTGTGACATAGAGGTCCAACTCCATTTTCTTGCTTATGACTATCCAACTGTTCCACCACACTTTGTTGAAGAGACTACCTTTTCATACTGGATTTTCTTGGTGCCCTTGTCAAAATCAATTTGTCATAAATATAAGAATTTATTTCCAGATATCAATCCTATTTCATTGTTTTATAGGTCTGTTTCTTATGCCAGTAACTCACTGGCTTGACAACTGTAGCTTCTGTAGTAAGTTTTGAAATCAAGAAGTATGGGTCTTCCAACTTCCTTCTTGTCCAAGACTGTTTTAGCTATTCTGGGACCTTGAATTTCCATATGAATTTTAGGGTTAGTTGGTCAATTTCTCAAACAAACTAGCAGGATTTTGATAGGGACTGGATTGAATCTGTAGATCAATTTAAGGAGTATTGTCATATTAACGATTAAATCTTTCAATCCATGAACATAGTAAATCTTTGCATTTATTTAGGTTTTCTTTAATTTCTTTCAACAGTGTTTTGGGTTTGAGAGTATAAGTTTTGCACTTCTTTTCTTAGACATGTTTATCTTTTTGATGCTCTTAGAAGTGAAATTGTTTTCTTAGTTTCATTTTCAAATTGTTCATTTTATGTTTATGGAAACACAATTTTTTTGTATATTGAACTTATATCCTGCAACCTTCCCATATTCATTTGTTAATTCTTTTAGTCTCTTTTTTTTACTGGATATTTTAGAATTTTCTTTATATTAGCCTATGTCATCTGTTCATAGGGAAAGTTGTTCTTCCTTTCCAATATGATGATTTTTTTCCAATATGGTGATTTTTATTTAATTTTCTTGCTTAATTGCCTGGCTAGAATCATCAGTAAAATGTAGCATGGAAGTTGTGAGAGAGGGTACTGTGTTTTGTTCCTCATTATAGAGGGGAGCATTTAATATTTCACCATTAATTATGTTAGCCATGGCTTTTTGTACATGCCCTTTATCAGAAATCTCCTTCTATTTCTAGTTTGTTTAGTGTTTTTTTCCTTTCTTTTTTTTTTCTTGTTATGAAGGCATCAGATGCTTTTTCTATGTCTATCTATCTATCACGTGGTTTTATTCATAATCTATTAATGTAGTGTATTAAATAAATTTATGATAGGATGCCAAACAAATCTTAAATTCATGGCATCAATTCTACCTTACCATAGTATATAATTGTTTCTATTTGTTACTGGATTTCGTTTGCTAATATTTTGAGGATTTTTGTGTTTCTATTCATAAGAAGGATTGGTTTGTAGTTTTCTTTCCTTGTGACATTTTTGTTTGTTTGGGTTTTTTTTTTTGTTTTTTTTAAAAAGTTGGAATTATTTATTTGACAAAGAGAGACTGAGAGAGAGATCACAAGTAGGGGGAGTGGCAGGCATAGGGAGAGGGAGAAGGTGGCTCCCTGCTGAGCAGAGAGCCTGACTCGGGACTTGATCCAGGATCCTGGGATCATGACTTGAGCTAAAGGCAGATACTTAATCAACTGAGCCACCCAGGTGCTCCTCTTTGTTTGGTTCTGAACTAAGTAATATTGGCTTCATAGAATGACTTGAGAAATGTTTCATCTTCTTCTATATTTTGGAGGTATTTGTGAACGATTGGTACTAATTCTTTTTAAATATTTGATAGAATTCACCAGTAAAGCCATGTGGGCCTGGATCTATTTTCATGTATAATTAGTGATTAGTAATTCAATCTCTTTACTTGATGTAGGTCTATGCAGATTTCTATTTTTTTTTCAAGATTTTATTTAAATTCAAGTTAGTTCACATATAGTGTAGTATTAGTTTCAGGGGTAGAATTTAATGATTCATCAGTTGATATAACACCCAGTGCTCATGATCCTGAGTGCCCATCACCCAGTTATGCCATTCCCCATCTACCTCCCCTTCAGCAACCCTCAGTTTGTTCGCTTGAGCTAAGAGTCTCTTATGATTTTCTTTCCTCTCTGTTTTCTTCTTATTTTAGTTTTTCTTCCCTTCCCTTATGTTCATCTGTTTTGTTTCTCAAATTCCACATATGAATGAAATCATATGGTATTTGTCATTCTCTGACTGACTTGTTTCGCCTAACACAATATACTCTAGTTCCATCCATGTCATTGCAAATGGCAAATTTTCATTCTTTTTGATGACTGAGTAATATTCCATTACACACACACACACACACACACACACACACACACACATTCCATATCTTCTTTATCCACTCATCAGTTGGTGGACATTTGGGCTCTTTCCATGTTTTGGCTAACAGACACATGAGAAAACATTCAACATCATTCGGCATCAGGGAAATGCAAATCAAAACCACTATGGAAACAAAACAAAACAAAACAAAACAAAACAAAACAAAACAAAACAAAAACACTATGAGATATCACCTCACACGAGTCAGAATGGCTAAAATTAACGACTCAGGGAACAGTGGATGTTGGCAAAGTTTCAGAGAAAGGGAAACCTTCTTACACTGTTGGTGGGAATGCAAACTGGCACAGCCATTCTGGAAAATAGTATGGAGGTTCCTCAAAAAGTTAAAAATAGAAGTACCCTATGACCCAGCAGTTGCACTATTAGGTATTTATCTCAAGGATACAAAAATAGTGATTTGAAGAGACTCATGCACCCCAATGTTTATAGCAACACTTTCCATAATAGATTTATTTTATTCTTCAGTTTCTTTCTTTTTTTAAATT